AATATGATGACGTATGATGAAATATGATGACATATGATGAAATATGATGACATATGATGAAATATGATGACATATGATGAAATATGATGAAATATGATGACATATGATGAAATATGATGACATATGATGAAATATGATGACATATGATGACATATGATGACATATGATGACATATGATGACATATGCGGACATATGATGAAATATGATGACATATGATGACATATGATGACATATGATGAAATATGATGACATATGATGACATATGATGACATATGATGACATATGATGACATATGATGACATATGATGACATATGATGACATATGTTGAACTATGATGACATATGATGACATATGATGACATATGTTGAACTATGATGACGTATGATGAAATATGATGACATATGATGACATATGATGACATATGTTGAACTATGATGACATATGATGAAATATGATGACATATGTTGAACTATGATGACATATGATGAAATATGATGAAAATGAAGAAATATGATGACATATGATGAAATATGATGAAATATGATGACATATGATGACATATGATGACACATGATGACATATGATGACATATGATGAAATATGATGACATATGATGACATATGATGACATATGATGAAATATGATGACATATGATGACATATGATGACATATGATGACATATGATGACATATGATGACATATGATGACATATGATGAAATACGATGAAATATGATGACATATGATGACATATGATGACATATGATGAAATATGATGAAATATGATGACATATGATGACATATGATGACATATGATGACATATGATGAAATACGATGAAATATGATGACATATGATGACATATGATGACATATGATGAAATATGATGAAATATGATGACATATGATGACATATGATGACATATGATGACATATGGTGACATATGATGACATATGATGACATATGATAACATATGATGACATATGATGACATATGATGACATATGATGACATATGATGACATATGATGACATATGATGACATATGATGACATATGATGACATATGATGACATATGATGACATATGATGACATATGATGACATATGATGACATATGATGACATATGATGAAATATGATGACATATGATGACATATGATGACATATGATGACATATGATGACATATGATGACATATGATGACATATTATGACATATTATGATGACATATGATGACATATGATGACAAATGATGACATATTATGATGACATATGATGACATATGATGACATATGATGACATATGATGACATATGATGACATATGATGACATATGATGACATATGATGAAATATGATGATGACATATGATGACAAATGATGACATATGATGACATATGATGAAATATGATGACATATGATGACATATGATGACATATGATGACATATGATGACATATGATGAACTATGATGACATATGATGACATATGATGACATATGATGAAATATGATGACATATGATGACATATGATGACATATGATGAAATATGATGACATATGATGACATATGATGACATAAAATGACATATGATGACATAAAATGACATATGATGAAATATGATGACATATGATGACATATGATGAAATATGATGACATATGATGACATATGATGACATATGATGACATATGATGACATATGATGAAATATGATGACATATGATGAAATATGATGACATATGATGAAATATGATGACATATGATGACGTATGATGACATATGATGAAATATGATGAAATATGATGACATATGATGACGTATGATGACATATGATGAAATATGATGACATATGATGACATATGATGACATATGATGACATATGATGACATATGATGACATATGATGACATATGATGACATGTGATGACATATGATGACGTATGATGACATATGATGAAATATGATGAAATATGATGACATATGATGAAATATGATGACATATGATGAAATATGATGAAATATGATGACATATGATGAAATATGATGAAATATGATGAAATATGATGAAATATGATGAAATATGATGACATATGATGAAATATGATGAAATATGATGACATATGATGAAATATGATGACATATGATGAAATATGATGAAATATGATGACATATGATAAAATATGATCAAATATGATGAAATATGATGACATATGATGAAATATGATGAAATATGATGACATATGATGAAATATGATGAAATATGATGACATATGATGAAATATGATGAAATATGATGAAATATGATGACATATGATGAAATATGATGAAATATGATGACATATGATGAAATATGATGAAATATAATGAAATATGATGAAATATAATGAAATATGATGACATATGATAAAATATGATCAAATATGATGAAATATGATGAAATATGATGAAATATAATGAAATATGATGAAATATGATGAAATATGACGACATATGATAAAATATGATCAAATATGATGAAATATGATGAAATATGATGAAATATGATGACATATGATGAAATATGATGAAATATGATGCAATATGATGACATATGATGAAATATGATGAAATATGATGACATATGATGAAATATGATGAAATATAATGAAATATGATGACATATGATAAAATATGATCAAATATGATGAAATATGATGAAATACGATGAAATCTGATGAAATATGATGAAATATAATGAAATATGATCAAATATGATGAAATATGATGACATATGATAAATTATGATAAATTATGATGAAATATGATGAAATATGATGAAATATGATAAAATATGATGAAATATGATGAAATATGATGAACCATGATGAAACCTGATGAACTATGATGAAATCAGATGAAATCTGATGAAATATGATGAAACATGATGAAATGTGCTGAAATATGGTGAACTATGGTGAACTATGATGAACCATGATGAAACCTGATGAACTATGATGAAATCAGATGAAATCTGATGAAATATGATGAAACATGATGAAATGTGCTGAAATATGCTGAACTATGGTGAACTATGATGAACCATGATGAAACCTGATGAACTATGATGAAATCAGATGAAATCAGATGAAATCTGATGAAATATGATGATTTATAATGAAATATGATCGTTTGAACAAGTTCAAACATTAACATTGTTCTTAACATTGTTCAAGAACATTGTTGAACGTATTGAACAATATTGCTTTTAGAACAGTTCTGTTTTGGATTGCTGGGACATGTACATGTTCCTCCGTGCCATGATTCATGTGCAGAATGAGCTCAGAGTAGATGCTGCAGGCAGTAGATGAGTAGATGTGAACTTCACAATTTTCATGCAACTCTCCAGTGAAGTGAGACACTACGACTTCTGCTACTTCCACTTCTTCTACTATATCAACCTCTTTTACTTGTTTGTTGATGTTTGTTGTATTTTTTGTGATTTTATTGGGTGTTGTGGGTGTCCTGGTTGTCATTGTGGTGGTTATTGTGGTTGTGGTTAGCGTCCTCGTCCTCGTCCACGACGTCGTTGTTGTAGATATAATATATATATATGTATATTATATATATAATATATATATATCTGTGTGTGCATGTATGAACATTTTCCGGAAAAACTGAACATAAAACATCACATTGACATGGTACTCATATTCAAGGAATATCAAACCTTCATGATCCTTATTACATTTTTCAAAAAAACTGAGTTCAGATTTTGCCTACTTCGCTGGCAGGAGCGGTCTGGAGAGGAAGGGCCCATCTTTTCGTTGCGGAAGATGTCGGAGCTTAGGTGCCTTGACAGCACGACGCCTCGAGGTCAAAGACCCGAGACAATCGAAGCGACGGCGGTGATTCTGATGCAAACGGTGAAATGTGGGGAAAAATGGTGAGACTCTAAATCGTAAGATATCATAAGACTGTAAAATTACTGTAAATCGAACTGCAGATCCAGAAAACTCTGCGACAAGGTTCAGAGATGTTTAGATTACATTTTTTCTTTCATCTGAAATGGGAGTACGGGCTGCCACACTCACAGATCCATCGTGAACATATAAACTGTTCAAGAGTGCCAATGTTCTCCACACTGGGCTCCCAGTAATTCTAAATGCATGGCTGCCAGACCTGCCAGACCTGAAGTCAAATTTCTTTGATTTCCCATTCTGATCTTCATTCGTCATTCGTCATTCGTCGAGTCGATTGAGGTGCTTGGTTCTGTCCGAAAACCCCATCAGAAGTGCCGACGTCCTCGAGGCTCGGATCGGCAGTCTCCAGCATTTGTGAAAACCTAGGGCTGGAGCGCCCGATTTTAGCCGAGGGCCCAATCTAAGGATTCCATTTTGGCTCATGGCACATCTGTGTTCCGACCATGGCCCAATCAACAAACGACAACAAACATACGCCAGCAGATGCTATACAAAAGCAAGGCTGACGGCGTGTAGGCAGCAGGTATTCCTGAGCATACAGCAAGGCAACCTGGATGCACAACGAAAAAAACATCAAGGACCCGATGCCATGCGATGCCATGCGATGCCATGCGATGCCATGCGATGCCATGCGATGCCATGCCAAAGAGGGGACATGCAACATCCTAACATATCCTAACTCTGCAACGAAGGTCAGTGAATGAACTCCATGGCTGGGTGATGTCCAGGTCAGAGGCAAATTGTGCATGCCGTGTGCCACTCATTCTGATGCAAGATGACATGGTTCGACTGGTGGATGCATCGGACATTTCCATCGAAGGCAATGACCAAGTTGAAACAGATGTATGATGTGTACGATGACTTTTATTTTCATTTTCTTTCATATATCAGATGCTGTTTCTGTTTTCATTCTTTATTTTCTTTTATTTCTCAAACAAATATTTATTCATTTTTATTTTTTTAAAAAATAATTTTGATACATAACTTATGATAACTTACTGTATATAAAATTTTCTATATATGTTTTTTTCGTTTTTCTCCATGTCTTTTTCGTTCGCGAGGCGGTGCAGCCGTTTGGTCCCCGCGGCGCGGACCTCTTGTTGCACTGCACGGAGGCCGCCACGGCGCTGGGTCTGCGGCGGCCAGAGCTGCTCAAGGATAAGGACCGAAACCGAAACCGAAGAGATTTTGGTAAAAAAAATCTGCAAATATGATATATATATGAATTGAATATAGATTTAGATATACATATATATATATATACATATACATATATATTTTTTTTGCTGTCGCTCATTGTTGCGTCTGCTGCGGCTCTGCGATGTTGTTGAATTCAAACAAATGCTGTGAAACTGTACATACACCCCGGCATAATCTCTGCCTATTGTCTGACCGAAGGATGACACTTGCATGGATCGGCAGATGTCAGCAAATGCTTCGGGGATATCAGGTGATTCATCCGTAGCCTCACAGCTGGCAAAAACGGAATGAATGGCAGAAGGAATGGCACGACAGAAGGCTGGAGCGTACTCTTTCAGAGTAGTCGTGCGCCATGCACCTGCTTCGTCTTTTCCTACTGCTCTGCTCAAAGGAAGCTCTCGGCGCACTCTGAACTTGTGCAGGAATGACATGATGTCCGGCAAGTTCACGCACATGAGTTCTGTCGGCTTCGGAGTTTTTGAGCCTAGGAGGCCCTGCGCGAACTTCAATCTCTCCACACCAGGCAACATCAGGAGAACTTGAACCAGCGGCAGCTTCCAGATCGAAGCTGCTCCTTCGAGGTCTGTTGGCTCTGCTGGGTGCTCCAGCAGGCCCACACTGCCCGCCAGAGCTGTTTCCAAAAGAGCTTCTAGAGAAAAGCAAAGGAGACAATTACCTGTGTTGACCTGCCTGAGTTCCTTGAGAGCTAAACTGCAATACCCCCAGAGTGGGGCCTCATCACGTAGCACTCGCGGTAGATGCTCCGGTGAATGGTCCTCTGAGTGCTCCACGGACGTTTGATTCACATTTCTCACACGCGACCATGTTTCGCATGGCGGCCCTGCTAAAAACGCGATCACGAATCGATCGCGAATTGCAGTCAGCCACATCTGTCTGGTCGATGCCCTAGACGCGTCTCCCCATGTGGAGTTGATCACGATGTCAAGCGATACCACGGTGATGGTGTACGCCATGTGCTCATGCATGTCACGTTCTAGGTAGTATTGAATATCGCCCAAACGACGTCTGCCTGCAAAAGCATGTAAAATGATTCTATGACGTCCAAAGACTTGAGGCACTGCTGCAATCGGTGGAGAGGAGTCAATTGCACTTTTCAAAGTCCTCAGGGCCTTTTGATAGTGCTCAATAGTTCTTGTCGACGTCGTTGTCGGCAAAGACTGACTGCCAATAGGCCATGATTCTGGAAGACTAAACTTGGCAAAGACATCCTGGACCTGTCGCAGTGCAAACCCAAAGACTGTCGCATCAGTCTCATCCAAATTGTTCGCAAAAATAGAAAAAGTACTTTTAGTGCAAGTCCATGAGATAGCATGCTGCTCCATGAAGGTCTGGATTGCGGTTTGCAAAGCAGTCTCATCTGCTTGTTGCCCCTGATTATCCACGAAAAAGTCAACCAGGAAAATGTAGAACTGGTCATCAATACCATGGAAGTCACGAGGATCAGGATCAGGGAGTTTCGGTCCTTCTGCTTGTAGTGGTGGGAGCATGCGATCATGTTGGCGCTCAAGTTCACGATCTTCTGTAGATCCAGCGCCTGGTTGCATACCATGCTGTCCCCCTCGTGAAAGCAAAGTCTGCCTACATCGAGTGGAGTAGTATAGGTGTGCTTTCATTCTTCCATATGTGTGAAATTCCTTGAGGCAAGCTCCACAGCTGGTGCCTTCGAAAAGGCATCGAATGATGGACGAATGGCCGTGTGCTTTGAACATGTGCGCGGCTTCGCCAGCTTTGGTTTTGCAACGCACTCCACAAGTCATGCAACCGTAAAAGGTCTCCTTCTGCTCCTCCCATTGTTCCTGCAACTCCCATGTTTCACCTGTGAGAAAGGCGTCACAATGATCATGAAGACGTCTGCACATGCGGTGATTTGAACTCACCACAATATGTTGTTTCTGGATTTGCATGATTTCATGGTTGCAAGCTCTGTTAACCAGCTTCTTCCAATAAGATGGATGATGCTGTATCAGTTCAAACCATTGCGCTGTGTGTCGGCTGGGATCTTTCAGTCCGGATGCATTCCTCAACTGCTGCCACATCCATGCCATGTCATCCTCAATGACTTGCACCCAAGGTTTGTCTTCGCATAGTAGATGCCATAGATCCGGCACTGCACTGCGTAGTAGCACCGAAAGGTAACGGAGTCTGGCTCTCCTCAGGATTGTGGCTGGCGGAGGTAAAGAAATGGACGCCAAGATCTCCTGCTCAGTGATGTGATCATCTGGCTTCTTTTTCAGCAAGCGTCGGTATAGTCGTAGAATGGCGGCCTCAAATCTGCGCATTGTTCTCAAATCACCTGCGATCCATGAATCTGCTCCATACATGATTTTCGTGAGCACCAGTGTGTTGAAAATCTCGTAGCGCTTCTGAGCCTCAATGTGGTCATTGTGATAGAGAAGTCGGCGATGTTGGTTGAAAGCACTGTGTCCAATCGCGAAACGTTGGGCCACTTTTCGCTGCTGATCACTTGTGTGATGCAATACGCCTCCCAAATGGCGGTACTCTTTGACCAGTGAAATAGATAGGGTATGCCTCTCACAAATCACGGTGAATTTTCCCGTCGCTTGTGGTCCATAGTGCTTGACCTTCATCTTGCGGCTACCATGGCCATGAAAGCTCAACATGAGCTCGGTTTTCCCTTTGCTCAAATTTGGGGACATCAAATGTTGTTCACACAAGTCCAACAGGTAGCTGATGGCTGGCCCAACAGCGCGTTCGAGGCCTTGTGCTGTGTGGTGTTGCACGCACAGGCACAAATCGCCCATCCACGTGGGGCCTAAAAAAGGCTTCATGCTCTTGGTTTCCTCGGTTGGCGCAAAGAAGGGCGGTCGCTCCATGGAAGGTATCTGGGCTATGAGCGCCTGGTCAATGAGGAACTTTTGCAGCTTTTTCAAGACCATGCTCCATGTGAATCCGAAGATTACATCGGCAAAAGAGTCTCCCGGTCTTGTCCCCAGTGCAGTGGCAACCACATCTCTTTGCTCTGCTAGCCAAAACTGTGTATTGCTGTGAATAGCTCGGAAGCAATTTCTAGCAGTCGCACTAAGACCTGCATGCTCCAGTGCTGTGCCATCGTCAAGAACTTCATGGAGCTGTTGCATCGCGTCTGCTGGCAGTTTCAGCTTGTGAAAAACGCGACAGAGTACTTCGTCTGTGGGTGTGCCGCCCATGGAGATTTCCCGCAAAATGCGGTAAAACGCTTCTGTGAGATCGAGGAACAACAATCCAGCTGAGAGATGCCGTTCTCGAGCTCGTCGTAAGAAAGCTCTCGCTTGGTGCAATGCCAGCTGCACCGGCACCTTCCTTCTCCCTCCTAGTTGTTGCCCTTGGAGGTACTTCTCGTATGCATCTGCCTTGTTCTGCCGGATGCATCGGTGGATCACTTTGCCAAGGTGTGATGAAATGAGGAAGGATCTGAATTAGTTGATTTTGTGAGTCGGTCCTTTTCCTTTGTACGCAGGAACCAGCAACCCTCCCTTGAACAGGAGGGGTTCCTGCCCATGTAGAATCAGCTTTAGCATCTGCGTGTATGTCGCTGGTGCCAAAAGTTCAGGATGAAATCTGCACAGTTCTCCTGGAACTCCATCTGGTCCCGTCGCCTTCTTGCATGCCACTCGTCTGTACGCTAATTCAAGCTCTGTCAGCGTGGGCACTTCCTCCATGTTGAGCTCAAAAGATTGCTGTCGAAAGCTCTGAAGACAGTCAATCCATTGCTTGCGCAGGTGTGCTTCTGTCATCCTGCTTCCTCCTTCCATCTCTCGGAAGAAATCTACCCAGACTGCCAAGGCTTCTGTGGGGAGTGTGCATGGCCGGTCCTCAGAGTTGTGGACCTGTGGTAGGGTGGCTCTCTTCTGTTTGCGCGGATTGGTTGGTCCAATGAAGGGCTTCAATTCCTTCAAGATCTCTGCAGCCGCGCTGTTCTCATTCATTTGATTCAAGCGCTGCTGCAAAAAGGCCGCTTTGGAGATCTGCAGGCTGCGCCGCATGAGTTTGCGGTGCTTGCAGAAGCCCATGTATGACTTCACTTGGCTGCATCGCAAACTAGTGCCATAGTTGAAGATCTCTTCTTGGTGGATGCTTGAAACCTTCTGTGTCCAAAGCTTGAAGGTCAGATGAAGTGCTTCCATGGCAAGGCTTCGTCTGATCTTCTTGTTGGTCTGCCTGTACTGAAGTTTCATTAGACGGTGTTGCCAAACTTCTGGAGTGACATAGGGCTTGTTGGCTAGCACTGGTTGTGTGTTTTGTACTTGTTTCATCGTCTGATGGAGATGATGAATGAGCTCGCCAGCTTGTTTCTCCACATCTGCATGCCATGGCTCCGGCTGGTAGCACCTCAGGTCTGCCTTGATGTTGGAGTCCTTGTAGTCGATGTGCTTACTCACGTTCTTTTGTGTCTGGTGTCGGGTCTGCATGATTCTGGCTTCCCATTGTAGTTGAAGTGTCACAACTTTGTGATCATCATGTCTTTGTGCGAGATCAAAGTCTGAGAGCACTTGCGAATGCATGCATCGTGGCAACCATGCTGATGACACTGCAATATGGTCGATGCAGTGTTGTGAGCTTCCATCCGGAGTGGTCCATGTGGCGTTGTCTCCAGCATGGCATTGTGTGGTTGCCGGCAAGCATAGATCACGTTCTTGCAATGCTTCTCTGAACAATGAAGTGTTGCTGGATGTCACAAACCCTTGCTTGTGGACAGTGTGTCCATCTGCTTCTCCTGGCGCTGCATTGGCGTCAATGAGCCACATCATCGGAGCTGCATCACAGTATTCCTGAAGGATATTCCTTGTTTCCTCCCACCAGGTGGTTCTCTCTTGGAGAGGTCTGCCGCTATGTGGCCCATGTGCAGTGAAAAACCAACAATCCAAAAGAGGATGATCACAACGTACAAGGAGTCGACGAGGGTAGCCATGTACAACACAAAAGGCATTGCGTGAGAGCTTGT